CTGTGTTAGGGACGGATTCTTTGCTCTATAGAGGGAGCAGAAAATGGCCGTCCTATGGAGGAACTTCGCTTTACGATGAGGCATTTCGTCCATTAGAACGCATTAACCGGTTTCTAATGCATTCTAATGGGCTTTTTGCTTTCGCTTGACAAATATTTCGCTCTACAGCGATTTTGCTGGAACAGATTAACATCGTCAAGCGAGGCATCACTGTAGTCTGAAAACTTGGAGACCTTCTGTCACTTACATCTATCAACACTAGGCTACAGTAATTACTGACCTCACCTGGAATTAATACAGTTCCTATACAGTGGTGCCCTGCTTGACAATTACCTCGTTAGATGAGGAAACAGCTTAACAATGAGTATTTTGAAATCACTATAGCAATTGCAAAACGATGTTTGTATGAGGTTTTTTCGTTTAATGACTGTTTCCTGCTTCGGGAACTGATTTTTCGCTTAACGACAATCAAAACAGCTGATCGGCAGGTTTTCAAAATGGCCGCCCACTGGCTCCCCACTGTGTTTTAGGACGGATTCCTCACTATACAAGCACCAGAAAATGGCTGCCCTATGGAGGAACTTCGCTGGACGCTGAGGTATTTCACCCATTGGAATGCATTGAACCGGTTTTCAATGCATTTCAGTGGGTTTTTTACTTATGCTTGATGCCGATTTCGTTCTACAGCAATTTTGCTGGAATGGATTATCCTCATCAAGTGAGGCACCACTGTAATACCTTAGACATCCTAAGGGAAGTGGGAAGATCCCAGCACATGGCCCTTTCCTCTTTCTAGCGGCACTGCCTTAAGTCCCAGGTGAGCCAGCACTGCCATGCTTCTTCCAAGCGATCTGCAGTTTCCATTGTTACTGCAGTAGAGCCTGTCTCCTGAGAAAAGGCTGGCCAACCTTCAGGGATGGAAAGCATTCCAGTCCTTTTGGGACTAAAGCTCCCAGGGTATGTCAGCTAACATGATAGCGGGCCTATTCCAGAAAATCTAGGCCAAAAAAAAAAAAAGGCAACATTTCACATCTCTGCTTAGATTATGTCTGTCTAAATATTTTATTGGATCAGATCCTAGAAAAATATATATTCAGACAATTAGTTGTTGATAAAGGATCTTATCCTGTCAAGTCAGTTCTGACTTATGTTGACCCTTTTAACAGTTTTCCAGGTACAGAGTGCTCAGAAGTGACTTGCCATTCCCTTCTTCTGGGGGTGCCCTGGGACTGTGCAGCTTGCTCAGGGCTATACAGGCTGGCTGTATTCTCAGGAGGCGCAGTGGGGAATTGAACACCCAACCTTTAGCTCTGCAGCCAGATGCCTAAATCACTAATCTATCCAGCCAGCTGCAACTAGTATTGCCTTCCTTTAAAACTTTTTAAAGGGCTGTGCGTTCCTCTTCCTCCACTACCTAGCCATGACAAAATATGTTTCCTTTTGTTATGGCTGGTAATGAAATTAGTAACTAACTATGTTGCTTTTTCTGCTCTATCATGTAATTGTCATGAGTGGGTTTGATTTTAATTCAGTAGGAGTATTTTATTACTGTTGTTTTGTCTTCTCCACAACCACTTTGAGCATATTGTACACAGAAAGGCAGAGTACAAATAAAGTGATTGACTGACTGATCCTTTTTTGTCAAGTCTGTTTCGGCAACAGACAGTATAGACACCCTTTGAATTCACAGGCAGAAAAGCAGAAAGAAATCAAAAGCAAAGATGAAAGCCATTTACTCAGACATTGCCCAGGTTATCCAGAGAATGACCAACAGGTGTTCTAAACACGTTTAGTAGAAAGTATAACCCAATAAGGATTCATCATTATCCTTACTATCAGCCAACAGCAGCTTCTTTTTTTTCCTGATCATCTCCAGGTCTGATATTGTAAATGCAAGATTTGCAAAAGGGGCCTGCTATAAATAAACCTTTTGTCCATCGTAGATAAAATAATGGTTCCAAATAATGGTTCAACTGGACATAAGTAACTTAAAAGTTCTCAGATCAAAATTTCCACCGGTACCATGTCAGAAAACTTAACATGTTTAGGGAGCAGGATGGATGAAAATCAATGATTTAAAAAAATCTAACTGATTTAAATTTTAAAAATTGAGTTCTGATTTAAATAATAATAAAAAAATCTAAATTTAAATCACAAGTTAAATCATGATTTAAGTCAAATTGACCCTGCAGTGGATCCATCCCAGGGGAGTAGGATAGTAAGCAACATAGGTTGGATAAAGTGGGAAGGAATACCATGCAACGGTTGACCAACAACTGTAGAATCCAGAGACAATGCCTGTGCATCGGAAGGCAACAGAAAATGTTTGTGTATTTATTCACAAGCTCCACAAATAATTCATCCCACCCCCTCTTCTGTGTTACATCTCGTAACCGTATTAAACCAAAAGGATTACTACCGATCCAGCTCTCCATGACTATCTGAGGAGCAATTTTGTCACTAGGGTAGCTCCTCCAGTGCCTACAAACTAAGGCAGCTGCTTAGGCTTTCTAAAGTCTCAGGCTGATCCCTCTCTCAGTAGTTCTCCTAGATTCCTGGCTTTGTATGGATTATACCTAGTCCCCCTCCGCCCCACAGGTAGCTTTCTGTCTCCTCTTTCTCCTAATTTCAGAGATGTTTCATAAAATTTACATTCTTGTTGATGGCTGATGGAATGTATAACCTGCAAGTCCACCTTGGAGTGACAATGCATCTCAAGACAACTCTATCAAAAGAAGCAAGGTTCGATATCCCAGGGCAATCTGACAGAATCTGACTAAAGCAAGGAGATGAGGCTACTTTCCTTGTTTCCCCGAAAATAAGACCTAACTTGAAAATAAGCCCTAGTGTGATTTTTCAGGATGCTCGTAATATAAGCTCTACTCCAAAAACAAGCCCCAGTGAAGTGAAACCCCGCCCTCCACCTTTGTGCAGCAACCAGAAGATGATGACATGACTGCAAAATACAACATCCCCTGAAAATAAGTCCTAATGTGTTTTTTGGAGCAAAAATTAATATAAGACCCTGTCTTATTTTCGGGGAAACACGGTAAAAACTCTTTGAAGGTGTCATTAGTCCAAGCAGAACAGTTAGGTCTTACAGTTCTCACCTGAAAATATTAAAACATATGTGGTTCATTGCTACATACTTAAATTTAGTACATCCAAGATGGCTAAAGAATTCCGGTTATAAAAGCACAGGAATACATGTTCTGACAATTTTCAGTTGCTACCTCTAAAAGGTCTTGGCTCCCTATATGGCTCTCCGTAACCCTGTTCTGAGTATCTTACTGTATGCTTTCTAGCTCTGTTCTCTGTTGACAGAATCTGACTAAAGCAAGGAGATGAGGCTACTTTCCTTGTTTCCCTGAAAATAAGACCTAACTTGAAAATAAGCCCTAGTGTGATTTTTCAGGATGCTCGTAATATAAGCTCTACTCCAAAAACAAGCCCCAGTTAAGTGAAACCCCGTCCTCCACCTTTGTGCAGCAACCAGAAGATGATGACATGACTGCAAAATAAAACATCCCCTGAAAATAAGTCCTAATGTGTTTTTTGGAGCAAAAATTAATATAAGACCCTGTCTTATTTTCGGGAAAACATGATAAAAACTCTTTGAAGGTGTCATTAGTCCAAGCAGAACAGTTAGGTCTTACAGTTCTCACCTGAAAATATTAAAACATATGTGGTTCATTGCTACATACTTAAATTTAGTACATCCAAGATGGCTAAAGAATTCCGGTTATAAAAGCACAGGAATACATGTTCTGACAATTTTCAGTTGCTACCTCTAAAAGGTCTTGGCTCCCTATATGGCTCTCCGTAACCCTGTTCTGAGTATCTTACTGTATGCTTTCTAGCTCTGTTAAGTAACCACAATCTTTCTTTGTGTATAAACGTGCACCTCATTCTGAAATCCACTTATAAACTGTATCTAACTGAATAGTATACTAACTGCCTATGGAAATAAGAAAACTGCTGAATATTGCTGGATGTAATGAAAAACTAAATAATAAAATGGTCTCCACGTCCTGTTGTAACTCTAATGTTCTATGACTGTATTAGATTTAGTCTACAGTAGTCAGATATGAGCTGAATTTTGAAAACGTACTTTTTGGGAGACTGAGATGCTAGAATATGAGGAGAGGAACAAGCCAAGAAGGTATATAAAGAGTGCATGGAACATGTTCACGCAGACATTTATATTCTTTATAAACGTCTGGTGCCATAAGGCTATCTGCCTCACGGCTTCACTGAAGAGCTGAACAGATAGCAGGAACAAATGCAGAAGGTGTTTGATCATGGAGTCAATTCCTAGGTCTTGGGTCGATAATGCGTGAAGTTAGCTCACTACAAATCTTAATCAGCTAAGGCAACTGGCAAATTTACAAGCAGCTCTTGTAATTCCTTTAGCCCAAGGACAACGTTTTACTATCACTGTCCTCAAAACTAGGCAGTATTTATAACTCTTATCTGAATCCTTATCTCAGTTAAGGTCAGCTGCATAGCAGAATAACTGTCCAGAGAAGGTAGCCTCAATAAATAGTTACTGGCATCTGCACAGCCAGCAGGGATATAGTGTAGCTCCTTTCGGCATGCTGAGCTTATAAGACTGTCACATTATTAGCATTCAACGCATAGAACTTTAGTGATGATTGTGGCTCCTTGCTGAATGCACACTGCTTCTTTAAGACTACACCCCATTTCTTGAAGTAGACACATTATCACACAATACTAATCCTTCAAAAGCTATCTTTAACCTAGCTATTTTTACCCTGATCCATGCAGCAAACGTGAACTTCTTAATTCTAATCAGACATGGGGATCAGATGATGAAATTAAATAAAGTTTAATTTTCTCTGTGCTATCCTCTGCACCCTTCCCCCCCCCTTTGGGGTTTAGGATTTAGAACAGCACAGAACAGCCTTCTATTTAAAAGAGCTATTCATGGAAATGGGGGCAAAGAGCAAATGTCTGAGGAGAAAGTCCACTGCCCTTACCTGAGCTCTCACTGATGCATCTTTTTTAATCCACTTTATCACTGTTTCATAAACCAGTTCTTCCGTTTTCGTGTTCAGACTGTCATTGGACATATAGGAAATGAAGTCGTCCTTTGAAATATTAAGGATCTCTTCTTGATTGGCCACTTCTGGGAAAATCTGCAGGGCGTAGGCCTTTGCCATGTTGTATAGTTCGCTGCACTGCATTGCTTCAGCCATGGCTAATATTCCTAAGCAGTTGCTAGCAGTCAACTGTTTTTCTACAAGGAATACATGTAAGAGAAAAGAGAAGAAACAGGTTAAAAATGCAGGGCACCACTTCATTTGAAGACTCCATCTCAGTATTAATGTGCTTGAGCTACACTGGGGTGTTTTAGTAATCCCACTGTCTGCTGTAGACACAGATCTACATGGCTTGCCCTACATCATCTTCTTGGTCTGGAATCCACTGACTTGGACAAAAAATGACCAAAAGTTGCAGATTTGTTTGGACACTGTTTTTTTGTCTTGGCTGTTTTGTGTTTGTTTGTTTGCTAAACAACAATCACAAAATCTGTACTTGGCAGCAGGCTGAAATTCAGAGAAATTGTTTTCAGCTGTTCAAGAAAAAATGCCACAGAATGCCTGCTATGTCTATGTGTTGCCTTTCCCCCACACTAGCCAAACAGGAAACATGTTTCAAAAAACAGGGGGAGGTATATACATTGTATACACAGAATAATTGAATTCCTCTGTCTGATTAGCTGAATGGAAAATTCCAACCACAGTGTTACCAGGGGTGAAACATTACACTGGTTGTAACCAGCTTTAATCTCACCTTAAGAAGCACACCTGACAGACTTCTGCCACAAATTTTTAGGACATTCAGTTATAATTTTTCTGTATTGTTCACAAGATACTGGTGCATGCCTGAAGAAATTGATTCCAATCCATGCAAGCCCGTGTTTGCAGATTTGTTTGGACACTGAAAGCAGGTGTAGCTCTGTTTTTGCAACAAAGCCTGACTCTGAGGGACTAATATTTCCAATCCTAGGCAAGGTCTTCAGTGGACTTTAATAATAAAAAAATACTGTGCTAATCCATATGGTTAAGATGCAAAACAACTGTGTTCTCACACAAAATTTCATTATTTCCTCTCGCTAACTTTAAAAGAACAAGTGTTGATGTTAATCCCTCAAACAACTGGCCATGGAATGCTCTGATGAGATGCAGGTTTGGAATGTTACAATCCTTCCTTTTCAGTCTACAGTGGTGCCCTGCATGACGATGACAATACGTTCAGTTAAAATCGCTGTATAGCAAAATCGTCGTCATGCAAAAAAAACCACAACCCATTGGAATGCATTGAAAACTGGTTAATGCATTCCAATGGGGGAAATACCTGATTGTCCTGCGAAGATCCTCCATAGGGCGACCATTTCGCGATCGCTATCTTGTGAAAATTGGTCCGGAAAACAGCGGGGAGCCATTTTGCGAACCGCCGATCAGCTGTTTTAAATAGTCGTCTTGGGAACAATCAGTTTGCAAAGCACAGACTTAATCATCATTACACGAAAATCCCCCATAGGAAACATCATTTTGCGATCGCAAAAAAGGCATCGTCAAGCGATTTCATTGTTTAACGGGGTAAGCGTTTAGCGGGGCACCACTGTATCTGTATTTTGGCTCTAGTGCCCCTCCCATTCATGGTTAAACTTTACATCAGTATGGTTGTTTATGGGAAATTATAATTTTAGAAAACACTGTTTTTAAACATCCCCTGTTAGCTAGGCATGAAACCGGGTAGACTATCAAGAAGGAACCCTACAGAGAGGGGAACGTTTTCTCCCTCCTTTTGCACTAACTCCTATCAGTGTTAAGTGTGATGGAGATTAAGGCCAATGAAACCCCCAGTTATGATCAAAACAAACAGAAAGATTTGTTTACATGAGTTGGAATGAAATTTCACATGGCTAACCCACAATCCATTAGCCCTGGCTAAGAGGTCAGGGACACTGCATCTGCATTAACCCCACAATGTTCCAGATGAAGTAATAGGGCTTCAATAGTAACAACAGAAGGAATATTCTCTCTGCACAGCCAGCAAATCCCACTTTAAAGTTATTGCTCACCACCAACAAAGTGACAATATGTTATTCTTGTATAGTGTTTCTTCCAGTCTAAGTCAAGCAATGTATGTCACTGTAGTGAATTACTGCCAGTTAAGAAATGGAAGCTAGCCTTTCTGATTTAATCGTACCAGTCGTGTGATTTGCTGTGAAATATGAATATGAACTTCTTAAACTAGTGACAATTTGCCACGGCAATTTATGCTGTTCAACAAACTGCTATGGATAAGTAACAGGATTCTGGCCAGAGAAGATAGTCAGCTTGATGTTGGGCCACAACCTTCTCCTACATGCCTACTTCATGAACGTATAGGCATAATATTATTTGGAAATTACTTTCCCACTCCACGCTTCTTATTTTTGGAAAACAAAGAAATTCATTGCTAAATTGTAGGAAATGGCATAACCATTTTGTTTATGGCATGCAATTTTTGGGATAGTCAGAGCAACTTTCCTCAGCCTGGTGCTCTCCAGATACACGTGACTATAATGCCCTTCCTCCCCAGCTAATGTTAAGTCATCGAAAAGAGGATGGAAGAGAAAAGAGTGGCTGAATATGCTATACACATAAAAAGAAAAGAATAATTTATCTTGGTGCTCATTTGCCTCTGTGACATTCTGAGAGGAACAGACCAGTTTTTCCATTGGTGTTTCTCAGAAGAATACTGGAAACAGTGCTTTTGAGTTATGAGATGCTTAGCTTCTGCAATGAAAAAAATGAAAAATGAGTCTAACTAAAATGCTTTTCTCTAAACTTTCCAAATAGCAAATATTCCACTATCTCTGAAGCTCAATCCAGTAAGAGCTATAAATAAAAATAAGCAATTATACTTTATGAATTCTCCAAATGAGAATACAAACCTCAAGTTCCTCATCTATAATGAAACCTACAGCCATCTCTCCCAATTGCATAACCATAACACGGTTCACTGAATTCAAATATTAAGTATTGGAAAAGGAAAACCTCACATTGATTTAGTGGAAATAAATGCATTTTGTTATAGTAGGTGAATCTTTAGAGATAATGTGCATGGCTATATCTGTGGATCATTAGAAAAGCCATAAAAATCTATTAATTTAAAACACACCAGAGGGTGACTATTAAAGAAAATCTGCAATAGTGTAGCAAATGTCACTGTGATGTGATGCAGGTTTGGAAACAGACATGAGGAATATGGACAAGACAGAAGCAAGGTCCTTTGGCACCAGAAATTGAATTATCCACCAAGGCTGTGGAGTAACCTTCTGCCACAGGAGATATGAAAAGCTAATGTCCGATGTGATGGAAATAGAAGGAGATTTTAAGTAATGATGCTGCAACGTTCACAACTATTGTAGGTCATATTGGCTTGAAATCCTGTTGTTATAATGTATGCCATGTAAGGCTGATCAACAATGGTAATTTTAAAAGAAATCAAACATCTCATGCAGCTCTTGAGGGTTTTGTGTCATCCCTTTCATTTCTGGGAAGCTGTGGAGGCCTTGGGACAGTATCTCTATTTACTGTACTAAACATCCCCACTGCTGGTAAAGTCATCTAGTATCTAATTCATAGCGCCTGTAAGGTAAAGTAAAGGTTCCCCTTGACAATTTTTGTCCAGTCGTGTCCGACTCTAGGGGGCGGTGCTCATCCACGTTTCCAAGCCATAGAGCCAGCGTTTTGTCCGAAGACAATCTTCCGAGGTCACATGGCCAGTGCGACTTAGACACGGAACGCTGTTGCCTTCCCACCGAGGTGGTCCCTATTTATCTACTTGCATTTGCATGCTTTCGAACCGCTAGGTTGGCGGGAGCTGGGACAAGCGACGGGCACTCACTCCGTCGTGTGGGTTCGATCTTATGACTGCTGGTCTTCTGACCCTGCAGCGCAGGCTTCTGCGGTTTAGCCCGCAGCGCCACCACGTCCCTGTCCCACCACATCCCTGTCCCACCACGCTGTAGTGCAAAGTAATTGTCATGTCCTGTTCACCTGCACAGCCTGGATTTATCTTCCTCCCTAGGGTCTTGGAACTAGAACCCAACAGCCAAGATGTGTAATTTCCAGTGCAAACTTTTGTAGAGTCCCTAACAAAGGCTCAAGCATCTAGGAAAGCTACATTTTCCAGGGTCCCTGATCCCACAGACCTTCTCTTGCAGTCAAAGACACCTGAAGGGGTGGTGGTTTAAGGGAAGAGTCAGCCCTACAGCAACATTTTAGCCTAACTGGCATATACAGGACATGCCACAACGCAGGGTGCCCATTCACTATACATTAAAATAACAAATGCATCTACAGCTCCATTTCTCTTGCTGCCACACTTGCCAGCAGCATTTAAAGAAGGGGAGAGGCTTTGCAAAGAAGTATCCAGAGAATGCTTATGACTCTGGCCATCGGTGTGAGGTAATCAGTAAGAGAGGGAGGTTAGGCTATGTGTTATAGACCCAGGGGTTAGGGGACGGAGACTGGTGGCTCCTGAAGAAGTCATTTTGTTCCCAAACATCTGAAGAGGGAAAGACATTTTAGTCCAGGGCTAAATGATAAGTCCAGTTCTAAAAAGAGACAGGGTAGTTCACTCATCTCTAAAAGTGATTCTCTCTATTTCATTGCTGATGGTCACAATGAGCACAATTGTTGTCAGAAAAGCAAGGATTACAGGATGCAAACTCAATAATAATGAGTGTACCAATGCATCTAGAGACCACGGGGCCCTGCAGAAGCACAATCACTCAGCCGCTGAAAGATTCAAATTGTCACATGGAGGTTGGGGCACTAAGAAGTTAGTGAAGCTGTTTCTGCTAGTGTTGTAACTTGTCAGGTTAGTTAGGGAAATCTTCACTGAGCCTTCTGTCTCCTCCTTCCCACACTCAGTTTTAAAGCCTTTGAAGGTTAGTGGATGAGATTATACAGGGCTCTGAAAACCCACACTTTGACCACTGGAAATTTCAGTCATTGGCTGAAATCCTTTTCCCACAGCTGTGTTGCATTAGGATAATTTATTTATTTAATTTTTAAAAAATCCTGCCTTTTTCATTAAAAGGACCCAAGGACTCATCAGTCACAGTGATATGTCAGAAATAAAAAATCTGCAACCCCTCCCTTCGGAAACGTAGACACCCTCCTCCCCCTCCTGTGGCCTCCAATGGCTTCCGCATGCCAAATGGGATTCCATGGGAGACTCATGGGCTTCAGGGGGAACCAGGATTTAAAATAAAAACTCTGACAAATTTCTGTGTCTGATTGTGACAATTAAAAAAAAAAATTAAAAACAGAATTCCAATGCGTCTCTCTTACATGAGGCAGACTGTCGCCAGGTGACCTGTGTGCCTGCTGAGCCTGTGGTGCAGTTGGATTGTGCTTTGTCAGTCTTTCAAAGGCAGGTACGTCCCTCCCAAGAGAGGACATGCCATGACTCTAGTCCCTAATTATTTTAAAGTGCACTGAAGTACAGCTACAAACAAATGTGAGGACTCAAATGATCCCTAGCAGAGCTGCCATAGCATGAAATGTTCTGAGCTCCAGAAACACAACAGAACGAAATTGCAAGAAGTGCTTACCTAGGAAAGAGACGCAGACTTTACAGAAGGTATGGAACTGGAACTTGCTGGCAGCTTCCAGGAGTGTTTTGGCGTTGGCCGAATCTATGACTAAGGAACCTGTATAAACAAATTCCAGCAATAATTCCAGGACGTCTGCAGTGAGGTTTGATAATTCCAGCTCCAGTTTCTCTCCATTTCTGTTACCATCCCGGGATGACCTAGCAATAGCAGACAACGAAATTCTTACAGGACATTAACTTTCCACCAACGATCATCACTTTACTGATGTAATAGAAAATCATACTACAATTCATTGACACAGATTTTGCTGTTGTTGTTTAAGAATTGAAAAAATACTGTATCTTTTAAAAAATTGTACTTAAAAAAGACTTTATTACTGGATCTGAAAGAGAAGAGTCTTGCATACACACAAAACCAGATTATTCCTACTCTGCATAGTCATGCAAAATAAATAAATAAATCTGCAAACTAAACAAAAAAAATTAAGAAAAAGATGAGCCAACATTAATGAAAATATGGAATAGGATTAACTTTGAAAGGGAACCAATACATTTTTATTTTCAGTTCTACACATCTTCCACTTTGATATAATAAATCTAAGCAATGGACAACAACCAAGGAGGGAAAAAGAAGGCTCCTGCTTTTCAGGAGGAAAAATAATTTCATTCAGTATTTTTCCATCCTTCATAGCTGCGTTCTTCATGTACAATACATGAAACTATTCATTGAAATGTATTTAGGGACCTTTTGTTTGAGGACCTTTTCTGTGAGCCAAAGCAATAGGGGAACATGGCATATATGCTTCCCTGCGCAATATTCTCAAGATTGTGTGAACCATTTTAAAGTGTAGACTGTAATGTTTTGAAGCGTGCGTATTTATTTGTCCTAAAAATATATTGTTCCCTTTTAGGCACTAAAACGAAAGAAAGAAAGAAAGAAAGAAAGAAAGAAAGAAAGAAAGAAAGAAAGAAAGAAAGAAAGAAAGAAAGAAAGAAAGAAGGAAAGAAAAAGGAAGGAAGGAGACCCCTCATGGCATTGCTTTGAAAACTAAATACAAGACGAGATAGACAGACAAAATGGTTAGAGCGGAGGAGGGAAGGGAAAGGTTTGGAACAACCAGCTCTGCCACAGGAAGCCAGCAGCCATCCTCTTGGAAGTTTCATGACTGTGGCCCTGCATAAAGTGCTAAACAATTTGGTGATCAAAATATCGCCTGCATTTGAAGTGTGCATTAGTGCTTGTGAAACTAATCAGACAAAATATATAAGATACATGGGGGGTAGATGGCGAGGGCCCAGTTCCTAATGGCTGGCACACATGGTATAGCTGCAAAACACTAAAATCGGGTTATACCTGAAAGACAAAAAAAACCAAACCAAAACAAAACAAAACAAAACACACATACACACATTTGGTAACGGCAAGAAAAGGGGAGGAAAGTCTGTTAGCGTAGGAAAGCAAGATGCCTTTTCAGTGGTTAGAGCCATCAGCATTTTCTCAGAGATGTGTTAATTGCTCTTAATGTAGGTACCACTCCGGTTACTCTCTGCCACTAAAACCTGTGTCAGAATTAACAACAAACATGTATGTCTCTGTGTGTCCCAGTAAATTCTATGTTAAAAAAAAAGTCAAACTCAAAGAGAAGTGGGGCATATGGGGCAGTTTCACAAGAGTGCAGCAAAATTCATCTTGCCAAGAAACTTACAATTTAATAATAACCTCCTGGCAAATCCCATCTTGCCGTGAACGTCTGGATTTTTGGTATTTGCTTTGAAGAAGAGGGATTTCCCCCCCCCCAAAGCACATAGTGTCTGATTATTATTTTTATTAGTGGCCTATAAAGTTACCGCCTATTCTTGCATTCAAATTTCAAGGTCCATGTTGCCAAGCAACTTTTATCAGCTTATCTCTTACCACTGGGAAAAGACAGCAAAGTTTATAGAAATACAAATCCTCCTATGTAGCCTCCTTTCTTATTCCCCACAACCCAAGTCCAGCTGCCTTTGTCCTCCATCTCATGTTATGAAAGAATGATAGGAGACTTGTTATGCTCTCTTTCCTATCCTGTTAATACAAATTTGAAGATTTTGATATACCAATTCTCTGTTAAGCCACTGATCCTGAAGAAATGTACACATTAATTCTAATGTGACACAATTACACTTAAGAATCTCAATTGCCTGGTAACGTTTTTGAATTTTCCCAACTCTTATAGTTTTCTATTCATACAAGTTTCCTGAGTGTTAGGTCAATTTTTATGAGTCAAATGATAGATATAAATATTTTTACACCAAATATACTACCACATTATCAATGTATTATATAATTCAATTCTTTAGGTTACAGTGGTGCTATGATGCTACCCGTGTTTTTCACTCTCTATACTGAACATACACTAACCAAAGTTAAATGTGAATATATTCTTTACTCAAGTTCACAGTTGTTATTTGCCATGAGTTCTAAAACCTTCATTATAAAGGTGCCAAAAGTTCAGTTTAAAACACACACACATAGACAGAAGCAGCATTGCCTCCCCTCAAACAACCAGGAAATCATGGCCAGAGGAGACCAACAATTTCCACAAATCTTCTTCCCCAGAGAAGTTGTGACTAAGTTTTTCCAAACCTGGTGCTGTGAAGTTGTTATGTAGTGTAAGACCCACCAGTTCTAGCTAGCATGTACTCAGGCTAGCTAGGGATGACGGCAGTTGTACAGCAACATTGCTATGGGTCCTGGATTGTGGCGAGCTGATCAGAGTCACCTTTAATCTTTGTTCAAATTCACTGTCTTAATAGGGCCTCACTATTACCTCATATTTACCTGAGAGCAGTGAGCAAGGAACTGGCCGTATTAAGCTTTCCCTTGAGACAAGAGAAGCAAATAGCAGTGAGAAAGCCATTAAGTGCTCAAGCCATTATTAGAAAAAAAAAACATACCCAACAATATTAGAGGCAGCTCCACCCTGTTATAGCCCCTTGGAATAATTCAGCGATAATCTCTTCTCCTTTGTAATAGACCAAGCTATAAACGGCTGCTGCAATTGATTAAACACCGAAACAAAGCTAAGGTGTTTAATCAATCACAAAAGCCTCTTATGAAGAGCATAATACCCAGCAGAGATTACTGATGTTACACATGCTGCCAGAAATGGAAGAGAAAATTGTATCCTTTTCTTCTTCTGGTGACAATTTGATATTGGCAAGATGCTACTAATGTTTGTGCAGCATACAGATCATGGGCACTGTCTAGGTGCGTAATCTGGATTTGAATATCAAGAAAGGTCTGGCCTAGCCAAAAAATTTTTCAATCAATCAGTCAATCAATCAATCAATGAACCTGTAATGAGTTCCATGGGGATGTCTTAGTTTGTACAGATTTAGATCAGAAGCAGATGGATTACTGACTGAAATGACTTCTGTGAGATATGAAGGAATTTTCAAAATCCACAGAAAATCTATTTGTGCAAGCAAACTAGTAGGAACAGAAAAATAGTGGCTGAAATCAAATAGGTCCATTAAATCAATGGAGATTTGGTGAGTCAACACTGGTGTACCTTCCATTAATTTCATGAGCCTACTCTAGATGCCACTTAACTGTTGGATTTCAGTTATTATCTCAACTGGTAGCCTGATTCTCTCACCAAAAACATATAATGGCAGCATCTGGATGGGATCTCAATGTATGTGTGGTACAATCTGTTTACCAGACCTCATGTGACCCTGTCAGAAGACATTTTCTTTGAGTAGGCACTGGGTGAGCTTCAAACACGAGAGACTAGGCCAGCTCAAAACATATTGTTCCTAAGGCAGAACAACAGATATCATCCGTCTTCTTGAAAAGTCAAGGCACATGAGTATTCAGCCCTGGCGTAGTTATTTTGGCAGAAAATGCGGCAATATTCCCTCTTATGAAAGAAAGAACGAAAGAAAGAAAGAAAGAAAGAAAGAAAGAAAGAAACAAAGAAAGAAAGAAAGAAAGAAAGCCAACCCCCCCACCTGATTATTATCCCACTTACAATTTGCTGCTCATTCATGAATCCTAATATCAGCTGCCTCATTCTACGTAGTGGGAGGGCCTATTCTGGAAGAGAGATAATTATATCCCTATCCTGCTACCGGAAGAGGATAGGGTTCTGCTTGAAATACAGAGCTCTAAAAGGTGTTTGATCCACAGCTTAGCAGCCAGACATTCCCTGGCTGCACAGAAGCCTCTAGCTTGTTTCTCTTCTTTCCAAGAGCACCGACACTCATTTCACTTCACAGGTGTTATGTGGGATAAAGAGACTTTCGCACAGACTGCATCTAGTGCAGTAGTGGGGGAACTCAGGTCTGCAGACCTAGTCTGGCAACACAGAACTCACTCAGAACATTCTCCCCCCTCCTCCTCCTCCTGTCCCCTCAAAAGGGAGATGGGGATGTTTGAGTGACTTAATCCTGTGTCTGAACTGTACTGCTCCTCCTTTGGAGGGAGCAAAAGCAGACACAGTCAGCAATGTCTCTGACAGCTGCTTGAATCTGGAGATGGGCAGCTATCTTGCAAAACACTGTCTAGCACATTTTCTTCCCCAAACTCACTTCTCTGCATGGGCTTCTCTTCAAAACTTCACCTAGAAATTTCCAACCAGTGCTTCAGCTGGGAACCTCATGAGGTGAAAGGGTGTAACCTTATTCTTCTAAAAACTGAAGAGAGCTATGTGGTCCTCACACAATGCAATGCTGGAGTGTAGGTGATACCTTTATCAGACTACATGCAAAAAAAATCTGCTAGTTTTCGTGGGTCAAAGTTCATTTCCTCAGGCATGCACCAGTCTCTTTACCAATAGAGTCCTGAAAGCTCATGGGGAATGGCTGTGCTGGGCTTGTTTTTTAGAGGTAAATTAGAAAAAGTGCAGGGTGCATTTGAGGTTTGGTTTTCAAACTACAGTCAATTGGATGTGACACCTCAGTTCCCTGAATAAAGAAAACAAGACTGTATGCATATACTCCCTCATATGGCCTTCTTCTGAAACTACAAGTTTCTAATTGTAGAAACAGAAATGGGTGTGATATCCAATCAATGGCTACCTGAGCTGTAGTTTGAAAACCACACCATTCTGGGGTGTGTATGAGAATTTTAAAGAGTAAGCATTCCGTGTCTAGTCGCGCTGGCCACATGACCACAGAAACTGTCTTCAGACAAATGCTGGCTCCATGGCTTG